CTGCAGGTGGTTGGAAGCCTCGTGGTTGCCGCCGATGAACACGGTGAGCACCGGGGCTTTCTTCTCGCCCGAGTAGTACCTGCGGAGACACGGCAGCTGCTGGACCCGGCCAAGCCCGCGTGGGTCCGGTCGGGGGCCGGGGCCGGGGCCGGGCCGGCGGCGCTCACCGGTAAAAGGTCTGCATGTGCCGGTACTTGGCCGGCACGGCCATGCACCGCAGGTCCGCCTCGTTGCGCACGGCCTGGAAGTCCCCGCAGCAGAGCAGCAGGTCGGGCCGCACGTTGTGGCGGCGCTGAAGCAGCTCCAGCGTCTCGTACATCTTGTCCAGGGCACCGTGGCAGCACCCGGCCACCGCCACCTTCATCGCCGCCGCTGCACTGAGCGGCCGCCGCGCGCGCCTTTGGCGTCACCGCCGCGCGCGCCGCGCGTCACCTCCCCGCGCTCCTGCGCCGCGCCTGCGCCGTGTGGGAGACACGGCTCGGGGGTCACGGGCCGCGGGGACACCGCGGGCCGGGGGCGGGAACCTCGGCCTGCCCCTTCATCACCGCTGCCCACGGGCTGCCGAGAGCCCTGCCCCGCGGGACCCTGCCCCGTGGGACCCTGCCCCCTGACCTCCGGTGGTCCCCTCCCGCCCTACCCGAGCAGGGAGGTCGGACCCGGTGACATCGGATGATGCTTCCAGCCTTGCCCGTTCTTTACAGAAAGGGTGGCCAGGCATTGGAATGGGCTGCCCGGGGAGATGGTGGAGTCGCCGTCCCTGGAGGTGTTCTGGAGCGAGTTCAGAGCAGAGAACGGAGCTAGGAAAGGGTCACCAATCTGAGAGGAGGAGCTGGGGGGGCTCAACCTGAAGAAAAGGAGGCTCAGGGGGGCCCTTCCTGCTCTCCACAACTCCCTGTTGACAGGAGAGTGCAGCCAGGGGGAGGTCGGGCTCTGGTCCCAGGGAACAGGGACAGGACAAGAGGACATGGCCTCAAGCTGCACCAGGAGAGGTTTAGGTTGGACATCAGGAGTAATTCCTTCATGTAAACAGTGATTAGACACTGGAAAATGTTGGAAAATGGGCTGCCGAGGGAGGCGGTGAAGTCCCCATCCCTGGAGGTGTTTACGGAAAGACTGCACGTGGCACTCAGTGCCCTGGTCTGCTTGTATAGTCGGGGATCGCCACAGGTTGAGCTCGATGATCTCAGGAGGACTTTTCCAGCCTTAGTGACTGACTCCGTGATTCTGTAGCTGGCCAGTGGGACCTTCACTCTGGGCAGTAACACTGGCACAGCGATGAGCAGCACGGTCTGTAACTATCAGGAAGGCTCGTCACACGCACAGAATGGGGTTGTACAGCGGGGCCGGAGCCCCTGCGGGGGTACCCGGGCTGCACAGGGAAGGCTGCACTGTCAGGGCTGCACAGGGAGGGCTGCACTGGGAAGGCTGCACAGGGAAGGCTTCACTGTCAGGCTGTCCGGCTCCCCCGGCATCACAGCACCCGCCGAGCACTGCCCGCACCTCCTCGGCCAGCCCAGTGGGGAGCAGCACAAGCTGCACTTATCCCTCACGCGTGGCTCACAGACCACAAAGTGATGGAGTGGCACGAGCAGTGGCTGTGCACGCTTCCACCTGGCGTTTAAGCGGATAAAACACCGAGTCGGGGCCAGTTCAGCCTCAGGCAGGCGTGTTTTTAGCACAGCCAAAGCTCTGGCTTCTGTAACTTTGTAGCACACAGGGGCAGGAAGTCAGTGACATAACCAGGGCAAGCGCTTATGAGGTGGGGTGGGAAATCGGGGCTCTCCCCTTTTCCTCGCGGACTGACAGGCTCCTCTTCGGAAAGGAGAGCACTGATTTCCTGCTTTGGAAGGGCAGTGGATTGGATTGTAGGGTGGCTTTGCATTGTCACTTAGTAAAACTGCTCCAGACTTTTTCCACTTCAAGACTGGTTTGAAGGTTTTTTTAAGTCTTTGATTGAACCAAATTGCAAGGACATAGTTAAGCATTAACTTCCTACTACTTCCCCCTGTAATCATGGAACCAAGTAGACATTCCTGTTCCCCCGTGGTAGCAAGAATTACATAATGGCCTCTCTTTTGATACTAAGAAAATATGAGTGTTGTCTCCTACATTTCATAATTTCACAGTGTTACATTACTCTGTGTACTTTGGGGCTCGTCCAAACCTAGCTGGAGTGAAGGGGGAAATTCCTCTGGCTTCCAAACCCCACAAGTCTCCAAGGGGAAAGCACACACGGGAGTGCTTCGGGTGCACTTGGCTCTTTCACTAACTTTGCTTAGACCTACCTGGAGTAGTGCGAGAACTCATCAGTCCAGCAGCTCTCCTGGAAAAGCTTTCCAACTCTCTGTGGGAGAACAACAGCCTCTTGTGTTTGCCATCTCTCAGACTTCCAGAAAGGAAGGGGGTGAGAGACGAGAAAGGTCCATGAATCTCTGGAAGATACCACCTTAACCAGAGTACACCATCTCAAGGGGCTTCCTGAGATACCTGCCTACCCAAATTCATCCCCAGACAGGCAAGGTAAACTGATACTCTAATTGTATTTCCTGAGTGTGTTGGCTCGGGCTCATGTCTTATACTCCATGTGCCACTAATCCCAAGTGAACTGGTGCACAATAGAGTCTATAAAGTTGGGCTTCTTTTATGTCATAGTATTTTCTGTCACAGTATTTTAGTATTTTAGTACTTGTACACTACTCATGATGCATCTCAATATCTGTAATTAAACTCAGTGTTCACTGAGCAAAACCGTTCTGACCTTTCTAGAGCACAAAGGGGATCAGCCATGCTGCTGTTTACAGGGTAAGTGGCAGCAAGTTAATGCTTAACTATGTTATTGTAATTTCGTTCAGTCCTTCAAGACTGTTTGAAAACCCATGTGACTGAAGCACAGTTCTCTTCCAGCGCATAGATGACCCATGCTTGGTCTTGGACTGGGTTTTGCAGCCATAGTCTCTTGCCCCAGTTGCCCATGCATGTGTCTTATGCCTGAATGTTCAGTCCTGCAGCAGAGGACCAAGTGCACATCCTGTCCTGCATGAATGACCAGGGAACTGTGAGGCCAAGGAGGGAAAAGTCCCAACAAGCAAGCTCAGGTCAGTAGATTGTTTGGGTTGCCCTTTTGGATCTTGCCTGCCTGCACTGAGCAGTAAAAATTTTTTTTTTTTTCATGAGCTGACTGTGGTAGCTTAGTACCATGAAAGTAGTTTTTCTCTGCAGAGAAATTAAGAATAAAAGGCATTTGAAGGGGCTGTAGATGATAAGACTTGCTTCTCTCATCTCTGAGAATGGAATGAGAAGAGCTTTTGAAGACTTTTCTGTCAAGTGCTTCCTAGTGTTTTTAGAGTATACTAATAGGTTTCTAGCATGATTTCCATATTACTAAAATGAAGAGGAACAGCAAAAGGGAGGCATCTGTCTGACTTTTGAGGAGGGACAGCATGGCTGAGAAGGGAGGTACAGGAGAAATGCTGGGAGACAGTGTTTGTGAAGGAGAGGGAGATACACTGGTGTGCAAAAGACAAATCTGATGTGTTCAGCTGAGATTTGGAGCTGCCCCTATAAGCTGTGAGAGCATGTGAGATGGCAGGTTGGCTTGTCTGTGCAGCTGAAGGGAGGGGCTGCTGCAACCAGACAAGACTAAAGCTCCCTTAGGTAAAGGCCCCACAGCTGGCCTGAATATCACATGGCTTACCTGCAGCTGTGTACAGGTGTCTTTGGGCATCTCCTCCCCTAGATCGTGTCTGATGATTGCAACATGATCTGCAGTGCAGCAACACAGCTGCCATTGCAGGGCCTGTTCTGGGCTGTGGCACTGCAGCTGCCTCCCTGTTCCAGCTGCACCAACACGGCTCTTTCCCTCTTAATTTGTACCTTTTGCCAGAGGACGCTGCTTTGCTGGGGGGCATTACTGATAGCCTCCAGCCAATGAGGGCTGGAAGCTGTCTGGAGGAAGAGATGAAGCAACACTCAGTAAATTTACAGATGGCACCAGGCTGGTTGGGAGTGTTGATCTGCTCAAGGGCAGGACAGCTCTGCAGAGAGACCTAGACAGACTCGATCAAAGGGTTGAGGACAGCAACATGCGGTTCAGTAAGGTCAAGTGCCACATCCTGCACTTGGGTCATGACAACCTCCTGCAGCTGCAGCCTGGGGCAGGGGTGGCTGGAGAGCTGCTCAGTAGGGAGGGACTCTTGGGGGCTTGTCGACAGCAACTGGATATGAGCCAGCAGTGTAGCCAAGAAGGCCAGTGGCATCCTGGCCTGTATCAAGGGCATTGTAACCAGTAGGACCAAGGAAGTAATTCCTCCCCTGTACTCAGCATTGCTGATGCTGCACTGCATTCAGTTCTGGGCCCTTCTCCTCTAAAAGGACATTGAGGGGCTGTAGCATATCCAGAGACGGGCAACAAGGCTTGGGAAGGGTCTAGAAAACATGCCCCATGAGGAACACCTGAGGGAGCTGGGTTTGTTTAGCTTTGAGAAGGCTCGGGGGGGACCTCCTCGCTCTGCACAACTCCCTGACAGGAGGCTGTAGTGAGGTGGGGCCGGTCTCTGCCATGGCTGCAGTGAGACGACAGGAGGAAATGGCCCCAAGGCAAGACAGAGGAGATTCAGATTAGCTATTAGAAAAAAAAAAAATCACTGTTTGAGCGGCCAGGCATTGGATTAGGTTGCCAGGTTGCCATTAGGTGATGGAGAGGAGGTGTTCAGGAGGCGTCTGGATCTGGCGCTGGCTGATGTGGTTTAGTGGTTACAGTGGCAGTGCTGTCCATATGGTCGGACTGGATGATCTTGGAGGTCTCTTTCAACCTCGACGATCGCACGATTCTATGAGGGCGTTGGTGCCGCTCCTGAGGGAAAAACAAAACCCGCCGTCCGCAGCCGCAAGAGCCGCAGGCGGGGCCGAGGGCGGCCCGGGGGCTCTCTGAGGCGGGCCCGTCCCCGCCCCCCGGCCCGCGGCGCTGGGCGGGCCCGGCCGTGCGGAAGGGGCGGCCGGGGCGGGCGGCGGAGCGCGCCCGGCGGCGGGAGCGGCGCTGGCCATGGGACGGGACGGGGCGCTGCCCCAGCGGGTACGTGCGGGGAGCGGCGGGGCCCGGGCCCGGGCTCGCCCTGTCTGGGGCAGTGGGTCGGTCCCGCGGGGCCCGGGGCTGTGTCTGCGGATGAGGAGCCGGCGCGGGGGTCCCGGTGTGGGCGCTGGCGCGGTCCGGGAGGGTCTGGCGGAGTGTGCTGAGGGCGGTGGGGGCCGGCAGTGCCGGCATCCGCGGGAGGCGATGCTCACCCCGCGCGCGTTGGAGCAGCGGGGCTCCGTGCTGTCCCGGCTCGGGGCTGTGAGCTGTCCCCTGGGGCTTAGGCGTAGCAGGTTCTGAGCACAGCGCGTCCCCAGCCCGGGCTGGCCCGAAGGTGTTGGCTGTTAACTCCGCTGAGGGGTCCTCAGGCTGTTCTTTTTCTGTGACCACTTGCCCCAGTACACTGGGTAGCTGGACCTTCCATTATCTTCTCTGCAGCTGTGAATGAATACGTGGTCGTAAAAGCAGGATTCAGGGTTTTTATCCCCCGATGTATTTCTTCGTAAGCGACAAAGGGAACGGCTTTGGCTACCAGACTTCTTGGTTCACGGGCAGATGAATTCGAGATTAAGCTGAGCATAAACTTGTGAAACTGAGTTTGAATAACGAGTGGAGTGATTTATGAAGGAGGTGTTCCTGCCGGAGTAATTCTCTCTGTGGGTCATCAGACTGTGCTGGTCTCAAGTAATGTAAATATTTTTAAGCCTGGGACTAATTATATTAACTCTCTTTTTCCTGCTGAAGAAGGAAACCCTGGGAGGTGTGCTGCTGTATTCTCCAGTCTTTGCAGAAATGCAGGCTGGGGAAGGATTCCAGAGGCAGGTAGTCCCCCAAGCTTTTTGCTGTTGAAGGGCATTTTTTTCTTGGTGATGGTCTCATGGCTTTAGCTCATATGTGATGCCTGTTTCAGGCAATAACTCTTCCAAAAATTCAATAACCATTTCTTTAAGTCACCTTCTCTCTTGATTTTTTTCCTGTCAATCTCTCAAACTTGTCAGGTCTGCTCTCTTAGGTTGTGTAGGGGGAGGTTATTTTAGTGAGAACTTTGAAGAGATTGTCAGTACTGTTTGATTTTATTATGTAAAATTATGTGTTTAATGTCTGCTGGATTTTGAGAAACTGAAGCATGAGATAGTGGTGGGTTGTTTGGGTTTTTTCCTAGTATTTATATATCTGGAAAGGGTAACACTGTGTATCAGTTGCAACTGATTTATATTTGCCTGAAAATGAAAGAGAAAAGTTGAAGTTCCCTGGTGGCACATGGCCCGTTTCCATTACCTAGACCTTTGCAACCACGGCCTCATCATATTATATTGTAGTTGTAGTTTACACAGAGGTGCAATGTTAAAGGTAGCTGTGGGCAAAGCTCCTCAAATTACAACTGACTGATGTGTGACGGCCAAACACTGCAGAGATTTTCTGGTAAAGCATCTATTTCATTTCCTTCAGCTGCAACCTGTGGAGCAGGTGATGAATAATGTGGCTCAGGCAGTTCAGAAAGCTCTGTGGTGGAGCCCTGCGGTCTGACACTCATTGCTGGTAGCCCTGGAGGTATAAATATGATGCTGCATGGTGGAATTTGTTTTCCCTTTTTTTTCCATGGGTGGGGTGAGTGTTGGCTGGTGGTTTTTTGTTTTTAGTAAGGACCGTTCTCCATAGAGAACATCTCTGCCCTTGAATTACACAGAAAACCTGACTTGAAGTAACTCTGAAGCTGGCATGTCCTGATGCAGGGCAGAGCTTGCTTTGCCTTAGTTGTGTAAATGTTTTCCAATACTGATTTGACTTAAATGACTGCATGTTCCTCTTCCCTGTAAGACCAGGCTTTCTCCTGTTACATTGGATTTTTCTGAAGGTTCAGTTAGAGCTTAGATCCTGTGCTCCAATTCTATCAGAAATGGGAGCAGCAAAGTAGAGCTACAGGAGGAGGACGGGAACTTTCTCATCCATAATTAACATAGCTGAGTGCTGTCATAAAGAACTGTTTTTATATTTGTTATGGGAAAAGATTCTTCCAGCAGAATTCACTGTTGTATTTTCTCTGTTGCTTATGTCCCTGAGTCTAGTTTGTGGAAATTCTGAGCTAGGACTGCCGGGGCCATTGTGACTAAGCAGGTGCTTTTCTTTGACCAAATGAAACACTCCCTAATGTCACATAATTTGAGAAATCAGAGCTTGAGCACCAGAAACAGATGTATTCTCTTTGCTGGGTAAAATGAGGATAATACTGGAAAATATTATCAATGTTGGTAATTAACCATGTTAACAATTAATCAGTGTTTGATTAACATGCAAATACTCTGCTGATGGAGAAATGAGTAAATCTGACTGCAGGATAATGTCTGGGTAGGGTGCGGGAGGCAATACCCGAGGTCATACATGTAAAACACGAGCTAGTTAAAAATTACTTCATTTTAATGAATATGCAGCTTCACAAATGTGAACATGGCTGTCCACTTAAAGTGAGGTAATCTTTGCATTTATCTGGTTTTGTTTGGTTTTTTCCTGTGTATATTGCTTTTGTTTTTAATCTGCTTCTATTTAAATACACAGGGAAAAGAGAGAAGTTAATGGAAATTCTCTTTGCTTCATTGTTGTTTTGTAAATCTCCCTGGGTTAATAAAGACACAGGAGAAATTATTTCCTCAATCTTACTGGGATGTCAGGCTTAAACACTTTTAGTTTTTCTTGGTAGAGGACGGGGGACAGAAAAGTTACGCTCCCATAAACTGTGCCTTCGTTTGCGCACACTGCTCGGTGCCTCTGGGGTGGCTTATCGAAAGCACAGGCACAAAAATCTGTAGCAGTGCCAGACTTGTTGAATGCCAGGACATGCTGCACCTTTTGGTGTAATTTGTTGGATTTCGACAGCTGCTGCTGTTCCCAGTGTGAGATGGAGGCTGGCAGGAATGGGCTTGTGCAAGGTATGGCGGGTGGGAATGACAGCTCCGGGCTCCTGGGACTGTGCCTCAGAGGAGGGGCTGGGAATGCAGCACAGAGCTGGAGCTTTTCTGTCTCACTGTGCTTGTTGCTGACCCATGGAATAGCTACAGCAGTACTCCAGCTGGGGCCAGATATGGGCTGGGAACTGAGGCTGCCCTGGAGAAATGGGCTATCACCTTAGACAAAGAGAATTTTACCCAAAATTTTGAATGCTTGAGGGTTTAAGTGACTCCAATGTGATACATGTAAGACCTGAAGAAGTTGGATATGTCAAGCAATGAGAAATGCATGAGCTCTGAATACATGGGCAATAAATGAAAACAATTGTTTTACTTGTTATCAAATTAAAAGTGTATTTATTCTGCAGACCACTAGCAGATGGCTACTCTGCTACAGGAGAAATTTAACTTCAAAGTAAGTTTCCAAAAATAGTTTCAGGGAGTTTGTTAATTGTAATCTCAGCGTCAGCAGAAGTTAATGACCAAGGGAATGCTATCTTGGACACAAATCTTCCTTTGTTATTTTAACACTTAAAATCACTTTAATTCGTGTAAAGTGAATGGATACTCTTAATACTGAACTAACATTCCAGGAACAATAAATTTATCTTGCTAATATGAAATTATCTCTTTCCATATACGGTTATAAACAGCCAGGAGACACATTACTTAATCAAGCAGGCTTTCTGACCTCTGCCCTGAGCCTTGCTAATTATGTGCTTTTGAAGCTTGTCCACCTCCAGTGTTTTACTGGTTGGTCACCTTATTCTGTCAGTGTGTCAGAGCTCAGGTATTAATTTTTCTTTTTCTTGTGCCTTGCTAAATTTCAGCATGTTTGTGAATGTATTTGGGTCCTGCTAAGTGAGCAATACTGGTGGGTCTACACAGACGTGAGGCTGGAACAATAAATAGTTGGCAAAGTGTTTATGTGTAATGGGTTGGCGTTACGTGGAAAAATCGTGTGAGCTTTTACTCTCTTGCTCTCTCATCTGTCTAACTGGAAGCCAGTCTCATGGGGCACAAATTCCTGTCTGGTCAGTTTTAGTTCCAAGACTGTGCAAATGGAAAGTTGAAGAAAGGTATTTCAGAAAAGCTGAAAAGGGTGACATCTTTCCTGGTACTGTTAACTCTTCTCCTTCCCAGCTGACATCCCAGTGACAAGCTTTACACAGCCCGTGCACTGGTGCTCCCCAGCAGTTTCTGGTATACTCGTGTTCAGGGACTCTGTGCTGGTGTTTCTGAAGGGGATGGAGACCCTGGAGTATTAGACAACCTTGTCACTTAACCTGGAGGAGTTACACTGAATAATACTGCATTTACTAACTGCAAGTCAGTATTTAAAAACAATAGGTTATGATCTACTGCCAGATTTATTTTTAAAAATCAGTGAATACTATTATTATTGATGCTAGCCCAGATCTTTTTGAGTGGTGGGTTGTCTTATGTTGCTGCTGTTAATGTGGACAGGTTGTATTTAAGTTAGTGTTGGGGGATTATTTTTCTTTAGGGTAAATCTATCAAAACAGATTTCTCAGTGTAAAAAACGGACTTCTCTGAATGCACAGTGACTGCAGAGCAATGTTAATGGTCCTGCCACAGTGAGGCAGGACAGTGAGGCTCAAGGTCATGTCTGCTTGGAAGCCTGCCTTGATAAGTGTTCCCATTGCAGTGACCTCCGTGGGTCACTGCAGGAATGCTGAAGTCCAGCTACAGCTGGTAAAGTTTGATGGTCTGGAGCTCTTGGACAAGAAGGCATGAAAGACAAGCAGATATTCTGCTGTGTATGGGATTTCAGAGAGAGATTAACAAAGGACTTTGTTAGTGCTCCTTAAAGGAAATTACCTGCCATGGAGCAGCAATGTAGCTTTCTCAGTAATTAATACCTGGTTAAAGCCTAGGAAGGACCGTCAGCTTTTCCAAGGAAGAGTGATCACTCTTCACTCCTGGGGGGATCTGTGTTAAGGCTTGTGTTGTTGAACCAAGTTCTAAATGGCCTGGAAGAGAGGCCAAGTAATGTGGCAGTATATGCTGAAAATCACAGAATTAAGGTAGCAGAAACAA